AGAAAGTAATGAAAAGAATGAAACAAGAAAACAAAAGAAAAATATAGCAGACTATGCGCCAGCACAGTTACTGATACACAACAATAGCGCAAAAACAGAGCCCATCAAGCGTGATCATACACACAACGCCAAATTGAGTATCTGATCACATACAGAATGCCAAATTGACTACAGAATATGAAGTGATCACACAAAGAATGCAGATCCTGAAGTTAGTGGAGGGATATGGACCATATGGGTGTGCTACGCAGTGGTGTTACAGCAGTACTTAGGGCTAGGACTCCATAGGTTTGACTTTGGCCCAGGTTAGTAGACACGTACTGTGATAGACTATTGAGGCATGCACTAGGTATGGACCCTTCATTCATGAGGGGGGGCAAGATATGGTTCTACTCTCAGAGCTTGTATTGTAGTGGAAATAGGGTGATGCGTACGGTCTTGAAACGCATAGAACGCCCGGTCATTTGGCTGCATTTGGGGCAACTTTCAGTCCACATGCAGCGATAATGACTGGGCGTGCTATTGGGGTGAAGAGGGTCTGATAGTATCCAAGTCGTACCCCTCCCTGAAGAGGGGGAGGGGGCAAGATATCAGGAACTCCCTTTGGGTCTACTCTCAGAGCTCGTACTGTAGCTGAAATCCTTTTTTTTTTTGAAAAGGCTGATATTACCAATGAGAAGATTGAGGCCTGGGTCCTCACAGTCTGCCCGGAGTAACCGAACCTATCTTGCTGAGAACCGGGCTCAGCGTCCCTCATATGGTGATGATAATGATCATGATGACGATAATGATACTACTGATGATGATGCTAATGATAATGAAGATTAGCGTATATGAAAAAGAAAGGAGACTAATATGCTATATAGTCAATTCTGACCTCCTAATCCTAGAACAACTCCTAGCCCTCCCTGTACCAGGACATTGCAACTCAGAGGCAGTACCGACGTTGAACCAACGTCTACCATGGCTGTTCTCTTCTCGCTCCCTTGCAGCCCCCCCGGTTCGCCACTGGATTGCTTTCCTCCGTCGGCAAACCCCAGATCTCTCTACAAGGCCTCACACTCCTGCCATTTGCAGGTTACAGGGCACTGTAGGGGAAATCGGTTCATGCCAACGGTTCTTTTTTTTTTGTTTTTTTTTTTTGTTTTTTTTTTTTTTGTTTTGTTCTCGATAGGATGAGCAACACACTGGCCAACAGGTAAGTCTCCAACCCCACCTACGGTCTTCAACGGAATAGAGGGCCCGGTCATTAGGGCTGCATTTGGGGCAACTTTCGGTCCAGAGGCAGCGATAATGACAAGGCGTTCTATTTGTTTGGGTGAGGACGGTCGGTAGTATCCGAGGCCCGGGTACGACGAGTCTCGTGCAACAATGCCTAATAAAGGCCCTAAAACAGGGCTGACTGATGGGGGGTTCCTTCAGAGTTTCAGCTTCGGTGCCCACATCAGGTCACTTGGCCAAGGACTGGTAGATGGGTGATGGTATTCGGTCATTATTCCTGCATTTGGGGCCCCCTTCAGCCCAGACGC